CAATCTCTTATGTGATAGTGCATTAATAAATAAAAGGCTATATTATGTGAAATGATTATAAATAAGAATTTGGACAATCCTGAGATGCACATTAACTTGTGAAACAAAATCAGCAGTGCCGGAGGGCCCGAAGCACGTCTGGTGTGTCTGCTGTCCATGGGTCTACCCTCTGATGGCTGCTTCCATGGGTCTACCCTCTGGTGGCTGCTTCCATGGGTCTACCCTCTGATGGCTGCTTCCATGGGTCTACCCTCTGATGGCTGCTTCCATGGGTCTACCCTCTGGTGGCTGCTGTCCATGGGTCTACCCTCTGGTGATTGCTTCCATGGGTCTATCCTCTGGTGGCTGCTTCCATGGGTCTACCCTCTGATGGCTGCTTCCATGGGTCTACCCTCTGATGGCTGCTTCCATGGGTCTACCCTCTGGTGGCTGCTTCTGATTACTTTTCAGCTTTTGGACACTACCAGGTGCTGTTGATTTTAGCAGAAATTTTCTTTGTTTTTAATCAAACCTTTCCCTCTGTGTACATTTTAAAGGAACCAGAATGTGTATAAATAAAGTTTCTTATCTTGTCCAAAGACAAACAAAGAAGGGGGCATTCAGGTCATGTCAATCTATGAGCCATCCTTTTTCTGATATCTGGCTTTAAAAAGATGTTTTTCCAACCAAAGAAAGCTAAAGTTCCTTTCTTCTCTCCTAGACAGAGGGCACTTCTAGAATTGTTTTGACTTAGAAGAGCAAGTTAGCTGTCAGTGCTATGAAGGCAGATGAATAATGGAGGAAAAGAGACATCTGCAAGCATGTGCTTGCAGGCTTAAAGGACTCGCTCCATTGTGGGGCCCAGATCATCTTATTACCAGCATCTGTGTTTAATTGCATTTGAATGTTCATGCCTTACCTTCCGTCTGTTATTTCCAATCAGTGAAATTGACCTTTCCACTGAGCTTAGCTTTATGTATATCACTGAACCCGTCCTCTGTGGAAGGTGGGAAATTCTAACCTGAGTCCAGAAACTTGAAAACCGTGGGAGCTACTATGTAAATCCCACAGGCCACAAAAGATAGTTCCAGATGAAGTGGTAAGGCAGACAAGAGGTAGGATTAGCCGGGCGGTGGTGGCGTCCGCCTTTAATCCCAGCACTCGGGAGGCAGAGGCAGGCGGATGTCTGTGAGTTCGAGGCCGGGCTGGACCGATAGCCTCCAAAACAATACAGAGAAGCCCTGTCTCGTAAAAACCAAAAAAAGAAAAAAGAAAAAAAAGAGGTAGGATTGCCTCTTACCTCCCTCCACCTTTTGTCTTATTTGGGCCCTCTGTAGAATGAATGACACCCACCCTTGCCCACCCTCATAGATAAGGAAGCCTGCTTCTGCTGCGTCTGTGAATCCCTTTTCTCTGGAATATGTTGGGAACCACACTGACCCAAGGGAAATGTTAGTTCCAAGTCCTTGCCAAGGGTCAGAGTTAGCGAGGTCCAGTCCAGGGCTGGGACCTCAAAGGAATTAAGGTTTCCACTCCTGGGAAGCTGGTCTTCCCCCTAAAGAGGACTGCAGCTATCAGTCCCAAGGCTGCCGATTGCTTGGTCTGTGACACACTAGAGATACCTACCCTGTGTTCCCTGTGTGTGACATTGGGTGATTAGCTTCCCACTGACTTTGTCCATTGTATGATAGCTTTCTGCTGATTCTGTCCCTCTTTTCCCAGAAAACTGTATATAAAATGCTGTATAATACTTCTTATAAAACTTGTTAATACATTTGCTTGACATGCGCCATCAACTCATGCAAGTCCTCCTGGACCCAAGCTTTCGATCTTCTCCATTGCCTGTCCTCCCTCTCCACACCTTCCTGGTTGGCATCCTGACTCTTGGGGCTTTGGGTCAGGAATACATCAGGAAAGGAAAGAGAGTGTAGACGTCCTTAGCTTACCATGGTGTTGCAGAGTTACTGTGATAACTTTATCCTACAGTATATAAATTCCTATAATGCTAATCTCACCCAGAAACACCCTCAAGACACACTCAAAAGCAATGCTTCATCAAGGCACCTTGTGACCCTTTCAAGCTGACACATAAAATTAGCCATCGTAAAATGAAAGTAGCGGTTAATAAAATAAGCCATTATTAACCCACCGTTAAAGAAATGAATACTTACAATAATGGCTGTGATGGTGACAAGGACAAAACATATCTCCTAGCACTGTGGTGATGATTGAATGAGTTATATGTGTAGGCTGCTAAGAACACTGTATATGGTGCATAGTGATTTGTTAATGTTAGCTATAATTACTTGATTTGGTCAATTAACTCCACTTTCCAGTGCTGTAAAAACCATCAAAGCAGAAGGTAAAGTCAGTATTTACAGAGAAGGAGTCAGCTTCAGGAAAGGATGGGAGGAGTCTTGGGCTGGAAGATTTCAAAGATCAACATTTTCTGTAGAAGGGTCCAGGTGTGATTGATACCATCCTAAAGCCAATTAAACATCACACAAATGCAGTGATTGTTCTCTATCCTGCCTCTGGGCTTCAATTGTCTTGCCAGGGAGGTTTCGCTTTTCCACCTTGCAAAGTTTGAGAACTCTCAGGATATATAAGATAAATGAAAATTTTAATTAATTAAAAAATGCAAACAGAGAGAACTTTGAGAACTCAGCCTCCTATTGGATGGGTTCAGTGTGGGTAGCACAAAACTCTCTCTGCTCCTCCTTACCATTTCCCCCATCTGACATCAGTAATGTCAGGCCAGGATCCTCAGCATCACCTTCCTCTCTCTTCTCTCCCACTGCGGTCTCCCCCCTCCTCCACTCCCAGTAGTCCTGCCCTATTCCCTGCTCTTGCCTCACTAGACCATGGAAATGTGGTGCTACTCTTCCACATCATGACCTCTTCTCTGGTTCTTCCTTCACTAGGACTGCACTCATGTAAACCTCATTTAAATGCAGTGCCCCTCTTAGTGGCCCTCTTGCCTCTTTGTAGTCATGGAGACAGCTTCCAAATAGTCTGGTCCTACTTCCTCACATAGCCTATCAATGCTTAAGTCACCAGCAAATCTGAATTAGTTTACATCATCGAGTAAACGCATAAACTTTCCCGTCATCTTTCCTGAGTCCTCAAGTCCTGCGGGGGCTGAGAAGAAAACCAAGCATGACCCACTAGCACCGTGAGCCTCACAGGGCAGGGGGCTGAGACACCTGCTCCTTTCTCTAGACTGCCAAGGGTCTTGGTGTTAATTGGAATTCAGGACACATCTCGGAGTGAGAACTACAGAACACTTGCCCAAGCCAAACCAACCCCCACCCCGAGGTGGGAAAGCCTCGGTCTCAGACCTCAGGGTGCCTCCTCTACAGACAGCTCCCTGGAGTTTTAGCACCCACCAACCAAAAGCATCTACCGCATGCACACAGAGCAGTCTCAAGCTAACTCACTGAGGAAGGGACTGTCTCCCTTTCCTCTGTGTTTTCCAGAATTCCCTTTTGTCCACAGGAAGTCTCAAAGAGAAGGTTGCTGCAGAGAGGAAGCATCCCAGCTGGGAGACATTCATCCGGAGCTGCTAAAGCAGGCAGGTCCTCTTCTTCCATCGCTCCCCTTGTAGGAAAGGAAGACCGAATAGGCGAGGCAGCAAAGCAAAAACTTCATCTTCACCTTCTAACAGTACATACAACCCTAGTGAGTCCTAATGGCAAGCACAGCAATGCCACCCTAACAAGACAGGTGCAAAGTCTAAAGCATATGCACCCTCTACCCCATACAAGTTCTAGAAGGGTCCTGTGTGGTGACATGTTGTTTATGATCTAATAAAGCTTGCCTGGAGATCGTGCTGGTAGTGGCAGCACACACCATTCATCCCAGGACTCAGGAGACAGAGACGGATGGATCTCTGTGAGTTCAAGGTCACCCAGGGCTACAGGAGGTTGAATCTGTCTAAAAAAGAAGCAGAGCTCATGCCTTTAATCCCAGCACTAAAGAAGTATATAAGATGGAAGCAGGGTCTCATATTCAATTAGTCTCCAGTCATATTAAAGACCCAGATTTGGTAGGGTAAGAGCTCTCTGGTGGCTTGGCTGCTTTGCTTCTCTGATCTTCAGCTTGAACCCAATATCTGTCTCTTGGTTTTTATTATTTGTGCTATAGTATGGTTCCAACTTACATTTGGGTATATTTGTCACCAAATATATCTGATGAAGGTATATATCTTGTGGAGGTTGGGCATGGTGATGCATGCCTTTAATGCCAGAATTCAAAAGGCCGAGAAAAGGGAGCTCTGTGAGTTCGAGGCCAGCCTGGTCTACACAGCAAACCCCAGGAAATCCAAGTCTAGATAGTAATACCCTGTCTCAAAAAATATATATAAGGAAAATTAAAATAAGCATGGGTGAACAGTTAAGGATGGAGTTCTTAGGTCTGGTGTGGCAGTGGTACATGACTTTAGCCTCACACTAAGGAGGCAAAGGCAGGCAGATGTCTGAGTTCAAGGATAGTTACACAGAGAAACCTTGTCTTGAAAAAATAAACGAGAGAGGGTAGAGGGAGGAAGGGAGAGAGGGAGGGAGGGAGGGATCAGAGTTCTTAATTGTGTGCCTGGGGTGGGGGAGACTCTGGGGTGCTAGGCAAACTCTGTCACTGAGCTTCATCCCAACCCATGAGTTCTCAGGGGACAGAAATTCAAACCATTCTATCTAGAATGTAGGATCAGAGATTCCTGTCATTTTCTACTTAGTAGATATTCTGATTGTGGGGTAGATTTTGCATATTACTCTATTGTAATTTGTCCTAAATAATAAAAACTAATATTTTATAACTTAAGGATCAGATTGGAGTATTACATTTGAAAATTTCTGCATAGCTCCACAGAACCTGACATGCCTACAGGTTCAGCTACCCCACAGAGGTCACAGACTGTGGAACATGCAGTAACAAGATCTGTCCTTCCAAAACATCACCTGTGCATCTCTGACTCCATGCTAATATACACACTTTATCCATGTGCAAGTCCCACCGCCTTGGTCTGTAAATGCAAAGTATGGTTATTTTATTGAAGAAGTATAGAAACTAAGAGAGGCAATGTCATACAAGAAGTGGGTTCATTACAGGGTTTAGCCACAGCTAAATTAAGATGCTCTCCTAGCTATACCTCTGATTCCTTCTTGGCCAGGGTTATCACTCCTCAGTGTACTTGAAGGCCACATGGAGCATGGTGGAATTGCAGAAAAGGGAAGACTACATAATCCAGACATCAGTTCTTCTTCTTAAAGAAATACACTCATTTAAATCCAATCAGGAAGTCACATGCCTAACAAAGTCATTACCTTGTTCCAATTGTACAACTAAAATGTTCCCCTAATCTAAGAGGCAACCACTTAACAGCATATTTGATGCAAACTTTCACTATTTTCCCATAGGTATAAAGATTAAACATTCAGATTTTCAAGAAAAATTAATTGGAAATAAGACATCCACAGCAAGCTATTTCATATCCATTAGTTATCATTTACACATCAAATACATACAGCATAAGACCAAATATACAGAATTTCCACGTTTATATAGTGTAATCAACATAGTGCACAATTTAAATCTATCTTACAATCAAGTGTACAAGTGGAAATATGGCTTTATAAACTACTAACAGCAACTGTGCTAAAGTAACTCATGGCTCCAGAAATAAACACTGTATGATGCCTCCTTATTGGGGCCTTCAATCAATGAGATGCTATTTACCGTGTTTTCAAAATGGGTGACACAGGTAAATGTCTTCCATAAGCCCCAAGCAGCTGAAAGGTAGGTTGAAATCATGCCCGTAGAGACCCTTGCTATCTCAGCTTTCTTAGGGTGAGCCCGGACATCTTCCATACATTTGGATACACAGTGAAATAAGATGGTAATTACCAGGTATTAGTAAAGCTTACATTTCAGAAAGGTACCCAAATTTTCTGGCATTTTTAATGAATAATTGGGGTTCATCTCCCTTGATTTCTTTGTTTTTACCTTAGTATTAGTAACTGTCAGGACACTCTAGACCAAGTATTCCCAAAAACAGAATAAAAATGAGCTCTTGTAGGAATGAGATCCAGCTACATGAGATCCTACCTCAGAGGAAAACAAGTGGCATATAACTGTTGATTTTTCTTGTCACCTACTTTACACAAAAATTAGCAAATAACTTGACCCAAATCATGCATCCATATCTGTGCACTTACCACATGGGTTACAGACACATTCTCTAATCAGTTACAGCCTTCAAATTGCTAGTTAAGTAAGCATCTCCATTCCTTAAACTCTACTGAATATTCACTTTCTAATGTCTAGGCCTGAGATGCTTCAAAATGAACATTATAGATAAGCAGGGCCATGTACACATGTAGCAGTGTCTATACATACACATCTGCATTGATCATAAGTAAATACACACAGACAAGCACAGAAAGTTCTACAGATAAATACAATGGTTTGGACAGATGCCTAAATATAAATGACCTGTGCTCTCCAGACATTAAAAAAAACTTCTCAAATAAAATATAATTGCTTTGTATATTTTCTGTAAGTGCCATAACTTTTGATGCTAGAATGAAGTTGCAAAGTCAAAGGAGTAAACACACTAGGCCAGGACTTGTAAGTTGCTCTGTAAATTGCCGACCCAGCCCCCATGAGATCCAGATGAATAGCACTATGTGTCCAGAGACCGTGTCTATGGTCAGAAATTAAGATTAAACATTACTTCTGTGCTCCCACGCTGGCCACTTGTATATCCTTAGGCAATCAATCACTGCATTTGCTTTTCACTTGGAAGCCTGTATTTTTATTATTTTTATACCATTCCATCACCTATAAAGCTTTCCATGGCCAGCACATCTCCAGCACAGCCATACCACACCCGTGTCTGAGTCATGGTATTCGTTGCCATTTCTTTCTCTCCTGTCTCAGTGAAAGGCTAGAATCCCAGGAAAAGGACTTGATACCTCACATTCCCAACCACCATCATGAAGAAACCATCACCTGAATTAAAACTTGAGTTGTCACTTAATACAGTGCAGGTAAGTGGGCTTTTAAAAAACCTGTTTACAATCAACATGATGGGATTTAAGGGGGTTTATTACTGAGGCAAAACCTCTTTGACGGGAGTTACAGAAACATGTCACTCCTGTAGGCACAGAGATCTGCCAAGAAGTTAAAGGTTGTCTTCCATCGTATTACTGCAAAAAATATATAATTAAGAGTTAAAATATAGTCACTGGACTTGGTTAATAAACAAAAGTGATCCCTCAGAAGAAGTAGGATTGAAGAAAATATGGAAGACCCTTCCGTTCTGAACAATTATTATAAAGAAGAGACTCCTCAGACTAAAAAGCCTTCCTCTCTTTTAGCCCTGAAACAAACTGTCTTCTTTGTTACCTGTTTGGCCAGCCCTAGTAAACATGGCAATTTACAACTAAATCAATTTTTTTAAGATGAGAGGATAGTTCAGGTGCTAAATAAAGAAAAAGATTAAGATATTACTGACAGATGCAGTACCTGGAGCCACAGAATAAAAGCAAATAAAGGAAAACAAATGCTTGCTGATGGAGGGTGGGAGATTAATTACCCTCATTTGGCAATACTACTCCGCATTCAATGAACTGGCCATGATAAGTGTGTGTGTGTGTTACTCATCAGTCAGTAGGTAAGCTTAAAATAGCTAAAATGGTAATGAGGGACCATAGAGTTTTTAAACGCTTGGTGGCATTGCTGGAATTAACTGTGCACAGAATTCCAAAGCACTGGAACAGTACTTGGCCTCACTAGTGCAAAGACCCCTTCTTGTGCCCACAAACTAGATGTCTTAGAGAAATGATTCTCCTGAAGCCAGAGCTTCGTGGATGTCATGGTCTAGCAAGATGACTTTTGGAAATTCAGATCTGGAGAAGTTCTCTGCTTCTGCAAAAGCCAGAATGGCTGAAGTCACACTGCCTACTGGCTGTAAAACAGCTGAGCCCCTTAAGCCACTTTTCACCGCCTCCCATAACTGTACTCAAGGTATTGACTGGTTCCAGCAATCACTGATGCAGGATTTCAGAAAATTCTTCAAAGACCAGAAACCTAAGCTCCACATAAAGAATTGAAATAAAGAAAGCGTGTGTTTGTTACCTACCCATGGCATTAGTAAGAATTCTACAGGCACTCCAGTCCTCCCCACCCACCAAGGAGATCCTTGTGAACTCTGCAGATTCATGGAACTCACCAGAAGCACTGAGTAAAGAATGTCACAGCTGCACACCATTGGTCTCTGGGTCTGCTAGCGATGAACTAGCAGAGCTCAGCTTTCAAACTGGGAAAATTTGCCACTGAATATGCTTATACTTTCCTACTATATTCAATACATCAGTCCTAGGTCTTCTCAACAATACTGCACACCCAGAAAGGAACCCAGGTCAGTCAGGAGCAATAAAGATAACTTTGTTCTGCTTTTTGTTTTGTTATTTTAAAGGAAGAATAAACTGGGCTGTTCCCTACCTGGATCATGCATCACCATTTTATTGAAAATAGAATCAGCAACTGACTCACGAAAATAATGAACACAGGGAAATTTGTTGCATAGATCTTATTCCATAAGAAAAAAAATCCAGCCACTTCTTTCCAACCTTCAGCCCCAAGCCCACTGCTTACCGACTCAAGTGGTGGGTTTCAGGACAGAAACAATACTCACTTGGTCCTGAAGTCACTTTGCTACATCAACTTTTGAAGTGGTTAAAAATAAGTAACAATAACAACAACAACAAAAAACTATATTGCTTTCAAAATTGCAAATCCAGAGCTGGAGAGATGGCTCAGTCATACACAGTGATTGCTGCTCATTCATGAAGGCCAGAATTCTAATCCAGCACCCACTTCTGGCTAACACCTGTTTCTGCAGCTGGTCAGGATCCAATTCCCCATACTGACTTGTGTACCTCAAAAGTGTGAGCATCCCCCAAATACAAGTACACATACATAAAAATTAAAATCCTAAATCTGAATAAAGGTATTTTCTCAATGTGAGACAGCTGTTCTGTCTTCCCTCTCTGTCACTCGGCACGTATTCGGTGTGGTTAACAAAAGACACCATTTTTGCTTGCACATCTCATACCAAGTCTCTCCTCCCCAGATGTGTAAAAGACAAGAACAACACTAACAGTGATGTTTAGAGACTCTTTAGAACAAGACCTCCTCATCTGGGGTCTGTGGACCCCCTGAGGAAACAAAGAGCAATTCCACTTTCCAAATCTTTGAATTTACATGTTAAATTTTAGATATTTGCATATATGCACTTTTCTGGGAATAGAGCCTAGGACTCTCATTAGATTATCAATGGAGGGAGGCACTGACACACACAATAAAAACCCATTACTTTTTGCATGTAGCCCACTTTCTGAGCATGCTTTTCCCATCTGGCCTTCAGGGAAGAAAACGCTAAGTGTTTTTGTTTTTGGAGGAAAGGGGGATGATAATAGGTTGGGACTTCTTCATGCGGAACTGATGAAGTTGGGCCTTAAGAGATGGTGATCAGGGCCAGAGGGTAGGGCATTTCAGCAGAGGGGATGGCATGACCAGAAACACAAAGCTGGAATGCAGGATGCATGGATAGGTGGTGATAAATGGATCTGCTGCACTCAGGGTATATGGAAGAGCCATGGGAGACAAGAGAAGGAAGTGAGAATATCGGGCCTTAAGGAGGAAGCCTCAGCCTGAGGCAACCTATACCCCTACAGACCTCACATTTTTTCCAAAGTTTGCTCTAGCGGTAATGTATGAAATAGATCTGGGAAGAGTCTGGGTGTGTAAAGGTCATCACAGAAATCGAAGCAAAACGGGACACACTGAAGTCGGTGTCATGTCTGCCTTGTTAGCTACTCTACACCTAGTGTGTGTCCCAGGGTCCGACACAGGGTAGATGCTCAGGACATATTCAGTGAGTGACTAAGTGAGCACAAGTTATTTCCAAGATAAAAGTCAGAAAGGGGAGTACTTTATTTGAAAATCCAGCTTGTTGCTGGATTCACAGAACCTAGCAGCGCTACACATAGGATAGACACTGAGGGAAAGCCTCTTGAATTGGCCTGAAGCAGCCTGGCTGGATGGAAGGTGACAGAGAATCCAGCACTCACAGTGAGGTCAGGTGTGCTGGTACTAAAACACGGAGCAGTTACTCAGAACATGGCTTTGTAAGGAAACCAAAGCGAGATGGTGTGATGGCAAGAGCTCTCCAGGGCAAGGTGAAAGACTCCCGTGGTGGGTCTTTCTCCTCAAAATACACGGTGTGTGACGGAGACATTAATGACCCCTGTGGCTCTCCCTCAAGGGGCTCTCTAGAGCTGTGTCCTAGAGTTCCTTCAGTTTTCTGTGCTTGCAAACAAATCCAGTACTTCCTTCCCTCAACTCTTACTTCTGAACAGCATCTGTAACACTCTGTGCAATAGTTACATAAATCCAAAATATTCTCAATCTGTGATCAACAGTGCGGTAGCCATGGCCTTGGTAGTGTCACTGGTCACAACTGATTATAGGATAGCAAAGTGGTAAAATCTGACAGCATAGCCGATTTCTGCATAAATGTATATTATCCCGCTCACCACTCCTGATTACGGAGCGGGAAGCAGCCACATAAGAAGCTTCGTTTCTATGATAAAAGGTTAAAAGTAACACGTGGTCCTTGGATTTTCTGCCCAGTCAAAAGCATCTGTTTACATAAAAGATTGTGTGCTTTCTCACATTACTTTCTAGAAAAAAAACAAAAAACAAACAAACAAACAACAAAAACAAAACTAGAGCAAACAAGTAAAGCATCCCCTGTTTTCTTATTGTTGCCCTTACAAGTAGCACCGGTTCACTAAACTGGCCAGGGTTGCACATCTGGGAAGCACATTAAAGAGTAAAGCCCTTCTGTTAAGAACTTTCATGGCCATGATTTTTATCTTGGGTACTTTTCTTCAATAATCCACATGGAGGAGGGAAACAGAGGTGTACTCTCAGGTTCTACTCAAAATTGTATCTTCAAAGTACCCAATTGTGACTCCAATTGGTAATGCCCACTCATTACGCCCCTCTGGGGGTGCCTGTATGAAAGGAATTACCCTACAGCTTAACAACACTGCCTACACTTCCAAGTAAAGCATTAGAAAGCAGACATCAATCCACATACTCATACTCAAAGCATCCTTACAGGAGAAAACATCGAACAGGAAGATTAAGTTGGTTATATGCAAAATGGCAAGTGTTTCTTTCCAGCTGAGAGAGGGGAGCGGGCAAGGGAACTTGTGCTGAGTCTGATCCACAGTCCTCCTATCATCCATGCTCCATTCAATAGTTTCCCTAGTCCCCTGGAACTGCCACCAGGTGCTCAAAACACCAGGAGACGAACAGGACACCACATGACACCAACACACAAGCATGCTTAATCGTGCACACCTTCGACACCCTATTACTACTCATCAATCAGTTCCTCCATAGGAATGGCTTTAATACAAAACATTCATGGCTAAGTTTTCTATAGGTAAAACTGTGTAACATAAGAGTTCAACAGGCTTCCCATTTCCATATGCCCTACAGCTGCTTAAGCGGTAGACACCTTCAAAATGCTCCCTCTTTGCCTCTTTGGAAATGAACAACTCTTTAAAGATTTTTGTGGAAAAGGTATGTTAAAAATGGGTTACTTTTCAAGGAAAATACATTAATTTCTCAGAAACTTCTGTCTTTGAGGAGCCTCATCAACCCTATAAGGAGTAACCTTTACCCAGTTGGTCAGAAGCAAAGCCATTGGTTTGCAGTTAAGACTTACACCCCAAATCCACAGCCACCGCACAGAACCCTTGCCCCATCTTTGCCTGAAAAATGAGCTAAGCTATCCAAAGCTGTCTTCAGAGACAAATACTAATACAGGGACATCCCACCTGTTTGGGGACTTTGGGGGAAGGGAAAGAGAAGGGTGACGGGAAGGGATGAGAGATCGCGAACCCCTAGGATGTGTTGTCAGTGCTGTGCTGCTCTCACGCAACAACAGTGGGACACCTGACAGGATGCATTAAGGAAACTGCGGAGAACTCAGACACAAGGAACACCTCCATGCTTCTCTTTCCAATGCATCTTTGTCTTCAAAAAGTCATGACAGTTGACAAGCTTCTGCCTACAAAAGTCAAATACTTTTCATCACCTCTGTTAACCTGCCATGGTCCTAAGCTTTATCTTCTCCAAATCAATAGACATAGGCAAGTTAGCACTCGGGAGGCAGTCAAGCCACATGCCAAGGCACTCGGCAATGAAAGAAACGCTGTTCTGTAAACGATCAGAGCTGAGGACCACCCATAGCTGATGGTGATTTGCGAGGCTACTTCCAAAGTTCTTCCAGCAAAGTCACAAAAAGGAACAACATCGTCCTAATAGGTTTTGTATGTGTTTCATCTGCACAGCCTTTGCAAGTGACTGTGCAAGGAAGTCCTTGGCCCTCAAATCTTAACATTTATGAAGCCCAATGAAGAATAAAATTGGTTCGTGTTGCACCACTTCCAGGAGGTTTAAAGCGCCATGCTAATGCTGCCACATGAATCCCCACAACACCCCTGTGAGGTAGGTAGGTGGAGAGTATTGTCATATCCCCACTTTACAGGTGGGGTAAATGAGGCACACAATAGTTAAAGGACCGGCCCCAAATCACACAGCTAGTCACTGGCAGGGTTTAGAATGAAACTCCTGTTGCATAGCACCCCCACTCAGCGCCACACACCTAACGGCTGTCCACTGAATATCGGTGGACTTCATTTGACATCTGTCTCAACAAACAAGTACACACACACACACACACACACACACACACACACAGTACAACAGCAACCAAAGGACGTTATCTCCTACATTGTTTTTTCTGATGGTATCTCTCATTACTTGAAACCCTGGCAGATGAAAGATGTTCAAGAATCCACTTGACAACCAAGTCCTCATTTGAAAAGGCTCGATATAAACTCTCAAGTGACAATCCATTCGTGTACCTGCTCTCCCAGACAATATCGGTTTTCTAATGAAAACAAAAATGGATTTCAGGTACCATGCTGATATTTGTTTTGTCTGTTTTAAACGGAGCCATCTGAATGGTTCTGTGTTTTGTTTGTACAAAAAAAAAAGAAGGAAGAAATAAGGCGGCTTATAGTCCTGTTAGCATGTTAAAACTGGGCCAAGCTTGGAGATCTCCTCCCAGCTCAGGTGGATTTCTACCTGGGAAGTCAGACTGACCCCAGGGAGTGGCAACTCCAAAGGAAGAGGGTCAGTGGTGGGACATCACTTGCACTGTTCATGGTCTGTGTAGTCATCCATGTCCACGTCAGAATCAAAGAGAGAGTGTCCCGTGAAATCTGTGTCTGGCGTCCTGGAAAAACTGTTCTCCGCCCCTTCGTCTTCGAAGGTCTCTGTCCTTGAGTAGAAGCTAAAATCCAGCATGGGCGTGTGAGTCTTGCTGCCCTCGCTGCTCTCCTCGGACTCGTAGATGGTATTGTCGTCATCGTGGTGCCACTCAGGCCAGAATTTCCTCCTGATCCTCTCACAGTACATGGCGAGGTTGATCAGCTCCCCTGCAGTGTGGCAGAGAAGCAAGCATTAGTTCTCAAAGGCTGTGGCCTCACAGTGATGTGGTGTGAATGCCCCTGCCCCCCGGAATCCAAACTCCCAAGGAGATGCCGAGGGGTGGGGCACCAGGAGGTGATGAGCATGAGATGAGACCTCATGACCGGGATTAAAACCTCCAAAACAAGGCTCAGATAGCTACCCCTTCCATGATGTGAGGGCCTGGGGAGGACACACTGCACCTGTGAACTGGGAAGCAGGCCCTCCTCAGACACCAAGTCTTCCACACCATGATTGGACCTACCAATTTCAAGCATTGTGAGGGGGGACATGGCTTTCACTTACAAACCACCTAGTTTGTGATAGGAGACAGGAAGTAGTCACTGGATCTCCCAGGAGATGTGGAAGAATGAAGTGGGGTCGAGGATTAACACTGTTGTTTCCACAGAGATACTGTCAAAATATTTGGATTTTCATGTACACAGTAAACATTTTTAAAGTAAGGAAAGTTAAATTCAGCGAGCAGGCTAAGTGGAAAAAGACAGGTATGACCCGAAGCAGAAGAGCAGTTTTCCTAAACTGGCAGCTACACTCTGACCATCTGGCTTTAGTGAAACCTTTTATCACTTCATACCTGAATAGCAAAAGAACTAATGTGTCTATTCATTCATATTTAAGTAAATTTATAAACACCAACCCAGGCACAAAACCTTTGACCTCCAAGTTGTCCTGCTTGTAAGACACATCAGGGCAATGGTGGCCCAGACCTTATAGGAGTAGCCAACTAATGTCTGATTTGACATAAGGTGAACTCCACAAGATGGAATCCCTACCTGACATTCCTTGGGTGACCAAGAACCAGAGACTAGACAGCCCAGAGACCTGGGATAAAATCAAACACTATTGGCTTTTTTTTTTTGTAAAAAAAAAAAAAAGGATCACTAAAATGACTCCTAGTGGTATTCTGCAATACTCATGGATCATAGATCAGTCTCTTACTCATCGGTCACCACAGAAGCTTCCTCTGTCAGCAGATGGGAGCACATGCAGAGACCCACAGCCAGACAACACATGGGGAGTCTAAAGGGAATGTCCCCCACCAAATCCCTCCCCTCGGAGCTCAGGGAACCCTCTAAAAAGGAGGTGAAAGGAACGTAAGAGCCAGAGGGAGTAGAGGACACCAGGAGTAATCAACTAAGCAAGGCTCATATAAACCCACAGAAACTGAAGCAGCAAACACAGGGCCTCCAGGGCATCTGCACTAGGTCTTGTGTGAATATATTACAGCTTGTAGCTTGGCACTTTTATGGACTCCCAAGTGTGAGAATGAGTGGGTCTCTGATTCTTGCCCCTTCTCTTGGGACTCTTATCCTTCTGTTGGGTTGCCTTGTCCAGCCTTGATATGATGGTTTTTGTTTTATCTTACTATACTTTATTTATTCATGTTTGGTTGTTATCTCTTAGAAGCCTGTTCTTTGCTAATGAGAGACAAAAAGGGAATGGTTCCAGAGGTGGGACAGTGGGAAGGGACCAACTGGAAGGAGTAGAGGGGGGAACTATAATCAGGATATAGTATATGAGAAAATAAGCTATTTTCAATAAGAGGGGAAAATGAAAATAAAAATTTAAAAGATTAAAAGCTATGCCTTGTATTTTCCATGAAGCTGATTTCTAAGAATTATTTTTACACAAAACTCAAGCCCAGGAGGATCAAACGCCTCAACATAAATCCAGATACACTGAACCTGATAGAAAAGAAAGTGGGAAATAATCTCAAATGCATTGATACAGGAAACAACTTCCTGAACAGAACACCAATAGCACAGGAACTAAGACAATTAATAAATGGGATCTCATGAAACTGAAAAGTTTCTATAAGGCAAAGGACACAGTCAACAAGACAAAACATTAGCTTTAGCTTACAGGATGGGAAAAGATCTTCACCAATCCCACATCTGACAGAGGGTTGATTTCTAAATATACAAAGAATTCAAGAAACTAGATATCAACAAACCAAATAATCCAATATTAAAATTGGGTGCAGATCTAAACAGAGAATTCTCAAAAACAGAGTCTCAAATGGCCTTAAGGAGATGTTCAACATCCTTAGCCATCAGAGAAAAGCAAACCAAAATGACTCTGAGATCCCATCTTACACCTGTCAAAATGGCTTAGATCAAAAACATGACAGCTCATGCTGGAGAAAATATGAAGCAATGGGAATAATCCTCCATTGCTGGTGGTAGGGCAAACTTGTACAGCCATTTTGGAAGTCAGTGTAGTGGTTCCTTAGAAAACTGGGAATCAACCTACCACAAGGCCAGCAATACTGCTCTTGGGCATACCACAAGGACACTTGCTCAGCTATGTTCATAGCAGCTTCATTTGTAATAGCCAGAACCTGGAAACAACCTAGGTGTTCCCAAACTGAGGAATGGATAAAGAAAATGTGGCACATTTACACAATGGAGTACTACTCAGTTGTTAAAAGCAAAGACACCAGGAAATTTGATAGCAAAAGGATCCAACTAGAAAAAAAATCATTCTGAGTGAGGTAAGCCAGACCGATAAAAACAAACATGGTATATACTCACTCATAAGTGGATATTAACTGTAAAACAGAGGATAACTATGCTACACTCCAAAGACCCAGAGAGACCCAATGGAGAGTTCCTGGGGCCACATCCAGATCTCCCTGGGAAGGGGAAATAGAAGAGATTTTGTGAGTGGACTGAAGGCGGGTGGAGGGTGGAAACATGAGCGATCATGTTGGGGGGCATAGCGAATGAGAGTGCTAGAAGGGACCGCTGGGGGGAGGCATTTTGCAGTCAGGCTGAAGCTCAGTGCAGGGGAATCTCTCAGGAATCTATAGGGAGGACCCCAGTGTAGACTCCTAGCAATTGAGCATAAGTAGCCTGAACTGGCCATCTCCTGTGACCTAATTGGCGCCTGGTCCAATTGTCATCAGAGAGGCATCATCCAGTCACTGATGGAGGCAGATGTAGAGATCCACAGCTAAACATTAGGTGAAGCTCAGGTATCCTGCAGAGGAGGAGGGGAAGGGAGTGTGTGAGCCAGAGGGGCAAGGACACTACAGGAAGGCCCCCACAATCAACTTACCTGGGCTCATAGGAGCTGACAGAGACAGAACCAACAACCAGAGAAACTATATGAGACTGACCTAGGCACTCTGCATAGATGGTATAGTTGTGTAGCTTGGTCCTCTTATGGACTCCTAACAGTGGGAACGGAAGTTGTCTCTGACTTCTCTGACTCTTTGGGGTCCTACTACTCATACTGGGTCTCCTTGTCCAGCCTTAATACATGGGGAGGTACTTAATCCGACTGCAACTTGATATGCTGTATTTTATTGATAGTCACAGGAGACCTGCCCTTTTCTTGATAGAGACAGGAGAGGAGGGGGTTGGGGCCTGGGAGAAGGGATGGGGGAGAGGGACTGGGAGGGGAGGTTGGGGGTGGGGGGACTGTGGCAAGGATGCAAAATAAATAGATGAAAAAAAAAGAATTCTCCTTACAGATAAGTGTGCCTACAAACACATCTAATAAAAGTTGTGTTTTTACTCTTTTAAACATTTTAAGTTAAACAGCTGTACATCCATTATAAATAGTATCTGACTAGCATTTCCCAATTCCAAAAGAAAAATGAAATTGTATGAGTTTTGCCTTTGATCCACCAGATGGCAGTGTTGCTTATAAAGAGTAATTTGAACAACTCTTTTACTCTAAGACTGTCTTTCTAGCTATATAAACATTTCACTTATTATATGTGTAACCCACGATTAGTAAAAAAAAAAAAACTAGGAAACACTAATAAGAAAAAAAATAAAAGACTGTCCAGTAACTCCACTCTCAGTAACATTTTTAACATTCTTATAGACATGTGCTTTTAAGTGTTTATACAAACTTGCATTTACTACATAGTCTGTCCTCTGTGCCGCTTCTACTCAACAACACACCATGAGGATCTGAGTTTCACAGTATAGCACCATGGTTATTTCACAGCATGTTATTGTCATCATCATCATCATTATTATTTATTTCTTCCAGCCTCTTGTCAAAGCCATTTCACTTGTTTCTATACTTATGGCTGTTGGTTAGAGTCTAACCACCCTGGTTTATTTTTCTTTTAGAGGAAATAACATAATCTGGAAGATCACAAGTCTGTGGACACATATATAAACACATAAAAAAAACAGCACTGATCAATCCCAGACAATCACTATGAATATTTCAATAGTGATATTGATAAAGGGGAAATTCATACATTTTAACCTGTTCTCTTATGATTTAACTTGTAACCATTATGTATTACTATCTAATTTGAAAATCTAACTGAGCACTTGACAGCATGTGAAAAGCCCTATGATTCATGCCTAGTATCACACACACACACACACACACACACACACACACACACACATAAAACATAGAAAATGTCTTAATGAAAGTTGATGGGATTGCTCAGCAGGTAGAAATGCTTGCTACCAACCCTGAAAACCTGAGTTTAATCCCCCAAAACCCACATAATAGAAAGAGAATTAGCTCCTACAAGTTGTCCTCTGGCCTCTACACATGTTCATGTACGCATAGACACTACACCCACAAATAAAATATAAAAAGAATAAAGAACAGAAAATATTACATTCAGCACATGACTTTATAACATTAATATATGCCAACACATATTAATGTCAATAAGCAGGATGGGCAGTATGGAGATCGGTAACAAGCCTCATGGTAGAATGCAGATTAATAGAAGCAGATTCATTTAAGTTATAAGAGCTAGTTGGGGTGAGCCTAAGCTAAAGGACAAGCTTCCATCATGAATAATAAGTCTCTGTGTCATTATTTGTGGGTCCCAACAAGAAAGCTTACTACATAGATCTGCAGTGTTTATTGACCGGCCAGCCCTGCCAGTCAATGAGGTTCAGTGAGATGCCTGTCTCAAAAAGCAATAGAGTGGAAGATGAGAGGGGAAGATACTAATGTCACCTTCCAGCCTCCAACGCATGCATAGGCAACACACACACACACACACACACACACACACACACACACAATTTTAAAAACTGAAAAAATACTAGCAAAACTATATTTAGCAACCCATAAATACTAACCACATAAATTACAATACAGCAAAATGATAGTATATTATATAACTAGTAAAAATACATTCTTGAAGACTATTTACTGACAAGGGAAGAGTAAAACGCATTGCTTATTTTAAAACTTCAGGTTATAGTTCCAGCTTTTTAAAGGACATGCACACTTGATAAAAAATGAGAATACATCACTGACTCAGGTCTGACAAGTGGGTAACCTGCATAAGACTGAACTAGACTCCTTAATATAGGTGACAAAGGTGCAGCTGGGACACTATATGAGGCCACTGGCAGTGGGTCCAAGATCTAACTCTAATGTGCAAACTGACTTAGTGGAGTTCATTCTATATGGAGAGATATCTTGCTCAGCCTAGACACAGGGGTGTGGGGGTGGAGAGGTGCCTTGGTCCTGCCTCAACTAGATGATGGGACAGACTTAGCAGACTTCCTATGGGAGCCCTTAGCATATACATGGAGCTGATGGAAGGAGGGGGGAGTGGAGGATTTGGGAGGTAAGGAGGGAGGGGGAACTGGGATTAGAATGTAAAAAAGTTAACAAAAAATGAAAATACACAGCACAGTATCAGCAGTTCTATTCGATTGATGAAATCACAAATATGTGTGTCTGCTTGTTTGTCCATTGGCTCAGGCTGGGTCCATTAGCTCAGGCTGGGTCCATTAGCTCAGGCTGGGTTGGAACTCTATGTAAACAAGGCTGGCCTTGAGCCAACCACCCTCTTGTTTTTACCCCTCCCCCCATGTGCTGGGATTACAGGTGTGGACCACCATGCCTAGTTTACATTTCTCATTTTTTTTAATTTTCTATCTTCTGTATTTTTTTTTCAGTTAAATGTGCAGTGTTTGATAGTTATTTGTAGCGCTGTAGTGCGTGGTTTTATTTTTATTACACTTACCTATTCGGAGCGGCACGAGTAAGGTCAGAGGGCAACCTGCAAGGATTGATTGTCTCCCACTGCGTGGGTTCTGGAGATGGAACGCTGATTATCAGGCTGTGTAGCCGGCCCCTTCAGCTGCTGTGCCACCTCACTGACCCGCCACAAACATATTTTAAGTACTGGTGACTAGTCAGTCTATCTTCCTATTCATCTAAATTAAGGAGAATTCCTCACCGTGTCAAGCAGTTCCAGCAGCAGCTCGTGTGGCTCTGTCAACAGCAGGGACCCAAAGAGCCAACATTCATTCACTTTAACTTACACATGACAGGGTCAAGGGTGTCCCGGTTGTTGCAACGCTATAACAGAAAGCTTCCCTACCCAAGCCACTCACACTCCTGGGTTTGGAGCAGTTCTAAACTATCCTGGCTCTTTGTTGCTGCTTTCTCGTCCGTTTCTACCAGAAAGCAAAAGCAGCGAAAGGAGTGAATACAAAATTAGCTACATATTAGGGACACAGAACCGTGGATGTCACTGACCCGCACTGTGTCCATCTCCCCACGCCGCACCCCACCCACCCATCCCAGCAACCATGGATGTCACTGACCCGCACTGCCGCACCCCACCCACCCATTCCAGCAATTCTTACAACATGGAGGAGGTCAATACTTGCCTTTGATTAGCCGTTCAGGTCTTGTTCCTGGCAAAGTCCACATCGCCTGTGCCAAGTGTCCAAAGACAGTGGCATCGAGAGTGGAAAGCTTGGGCCCCATGATGTACTTCTTGTCACCTGAAGCAAATGGAATGGAAAGGTCACTATACTGGCCCCCACTGTCTAATATGATCACAAAGGCATTAAACACGTTCTCCTTATGCTATTGTTTAACTATGCACCAAAAATCTTTATAGGGTCAAAACACATGCATGTGCTTTTCATAGAAAGACAGACAGACAGACGAATAAATGAATGTTCTATGACACAACAACTCCCAAAGTAGCAAACAGGGAAGTGAGCTCACGTACACAAGTGGATAAGGATTCTCCCAGAAAAAGGAATAATTCAGCAACAACTGAATTCCAGACAGCCTCCATGTCTCAACTCTGGTAATAAAAAGATTCGATGCTTACCAATACCTGGAAGTTTGCTAGACCCATCTCAAAAGTAATTTATACCAAGCACCCAAGACCCAGTGTTTATGAGACTAAATCAATACATTTGCCTAGAAACAAACACAAGCCTAGGCTAAGGAGTTTGAAGCAAGATTGTTCATGATACTCCCACAGACAGGGTAACTGTTTTACACAGAATGCCAGCATCCCTGGGAAACCTCAACTACAGAGAAGACACAAAGTCAAAGGTTCATCCCCAGCAGCAGGTCCTAGCAAGGATATTTTACACACCTGCTCTCCAGTTTCTGCTTGACCAACACTGATGTTCAGTTCAGGCCTTAACACATGGACTATCACACTTGACTCAAAAATACTGCCCAAGTTGTGTTTTGGGCTGTTGTCAAGGACTGGGCAGCATAAATAGAAACTTCTTTTTGCAGCAGACTGAGAGCAACTGAAAGCCACAACTAGTCAAAATGTACCCAGCTCCAGTTGATATGATACATCTACACTATAACCACTATAACTACAGCTCAGGGAACATCACATAAGAAGGGACAAGAATATTTTAAGAGACAAAATACCAAGACTTCTCCAAAGCCACAGAGAAGCCCTATCTCAAAAAAAAACAAAACAAACAAACAAAATACACACACACACACACACACACACACACACAAGACTTCTGCTTCTAGACAGACATGAAATCTCCACAATACGGTTGGCTATACACTCACTATCTGAGCAATGATTACTATATCAACATGGATGGGGATGTCACAGGACCCCACCCCTAGATGAAGAGCTATAGGCAAATAACGGCTATTGAGAAAAGGAGAGCTAGTCTTTCCCAGGGCAGAGTCCCCTACTAGGTTATCCAACACCAAGTGGTCATCCCTAAAACCATGCATACATAACCAAAACTAAATGGACTCAGCAGGTTTCATGTATTTATTCGAAAATATTTATCACAATAATAATGAAAGGAAAAGAGGTCATGCGTATGAAAGGGAATGGCCTATGAACACATGAGAAAGGTCGGTAATTATCATTCACACATGTGAAAAATTTTTAATTCATGCAATGGAGAAGGAAAAAATGCCCCAATGGGGCTGGAGAGATGGCTCAGAGGTCAAGAGCACTGGCTGCTCTTCCAGAGGTCCTGAGTTCAATTCCCAGCAATCGCATGGTGGTTCACAATCATCTGTAATGATCTGGTGCCCTCTTCTGGCATATAGCCATACATGCAGGCAGAACACTATACATAAAAAATAAATATTTTTTTAAAGCTACCCCAAGTTGTCTTCTGGGATGTTGTGGGTACTGCATCATAAGGAGGCAATGGTAGAATTGTATTCATCCAGGTAACATCCTGGAATCTAGTTATCTGTCCTGATCATTACCTAACTTCTCAAAGGTTCCCTGTCTGCAATAGGAGATGACATTAGGAGAACTTGTTCCCAGGGCCTGGGATATATCTTACTCAATACAGTGTTTGCTTTGCAAGGATAGCAACTTAAGTTCAATCCCTACAACCCACATTTTAAAAATATGCGTTCATAACCTCCTTTCTGAGGAGGCAGAACCTGGCTCACTGGTCAGCAAGCTGAGACTATTATCAGGTGAGTGAGAGATCCTGTCTCAAAATAAAGGTGGACGGCACCTGAGGAATGACACCTGAGGTTGTTCCCTGACCTCTACATGCCAAGCACAAGTGAGCCTGTTCCTCAAGACTACTGTGGGGATGTAAAACTGTAAAACACTCTGCATCAGTTTTGAGTAACCTGGTGAACACTTGGTCTTGTGAGGACAGACTCTCCCTTTCTGAGTCCGTGCCCCATAACCACATGAATGTAATCTTATGAGGTCATTCTTTTTCACAAACACTTTCAATGGCTTATTAAAGCATCTAGCAAATAAAGTCCAAACTCAACCTGGAAGACGAGGACCGTGGTCCTCTGTTCCCAGCATAACCTGTTCTTCAGTGAGAACCCTCTCTTCCTTTACTCTTCGACCCCACTGTTCTCCTCCCCAGCACGCGCTGTCTCCATTGCTAACTTCACGGGCTACGTTCCACAACCTATATGGGTCCCCACTTCTATTTGTCAATCCCATTTATCTTTGAGGTTCATCATCAGCTTCCTTTGAAAGATTGCTCTCTTACTCTGCCCAGTGATAACGGGAGTTTTCAATTCACACAGCTGAGGCTCACTCACTTCTGTCCATGTAACCACACAGGACACAAAGCATTTAATGTCTATTAATGCCATATTCCTCAACTATAAAGTGGGAATATTTTCAAGTTATTGAGAAGACTGTGGTGACAAGCTAGGCATAAAGTAAATATATATATATATATATATTTCCCTGCTTCCTCTTCTCAGGCCTCATACATAGTATTTCTTCTCTGCTGCGTATGCCCAGGTTATCTTTTCTCAGTGGATTTTATCCTTCCAGTAGGTAGAAGCTCTCTAAAAGCCGGATCACTTCTTATTTTTACCTAACAAACTCTTGCAGTATGCTTTTGTTTTCCTGGTATGATCATATCCTAGAAGCATCCTGAGGAAGTTAGACCTTTGATATCAATTCATAGGCCAGGTAAGAGGGGAAACTTCTACAGGAGGCAACACAAGGAAACAAACCAGTAAAGACAAATGAAACTGGGAGATATTATTTTTTAAATTATGTCTACTGGCAGCCATGGGGGCGCGACTCTTCAAACCCCATATGCTGGAGGCACAGACAGGAAGATTTTTTTGTGAGTCTGGGGTATACACAGTAAGTTTCAGGCCAGCCAAGGATACATAATGAGACCCTATCTCAAGAGAGAGGGAGGGAGAAAGTTGGGGGGAGCTAGGGAGGCAGGGGGACAGGGGGTAGGGGGTCAGGGGGCAGGGAGGCAGGGAGGGAGAGAATGTCTACTATGCATTCCATAGGAACCAAGAAATACCCTGTGCTAGGACAATATCTGAACCTAGCCAAATTATCTTTTCTGATGAAGACAGTAGAGTTTTCCTTGTTAGAACACTAGATGTTTCTCACTGTCCACCAATCTCCACCATTCCCATCTTACCTCAGAATCTAAGCAAATTACTCAAATAACAGGAACTTTAAAAAAAAAACTCCGTGGTGTGTGTGTGTGCGTGTGTGTGTGTGTGTGCGCGCGCGCGCGCGCACGCACACGCTCGCGCATGCTTGATCTACAGCAACAATCTCAGATGCCAGTCCTCACCGTCTACCTTACCACGGCATACACCAGGCTATCTGACCTGTCTTTGCCTACCAGCTCACTGTATGAGCTCTGACACTACAAACACATACTAACATACTATAATGTCTGGTTTCATGTGAGTTCTGGGGGTCAGAACTCAGATTCTCGCTCTAGTGTGACAAGTGCTTACCCAATGAGCTATCTCCCCAGCCCCGTTATTTTTCTGATGGCAGATCTTGCTTTCTCCATGCCCTCGATCACTGCTCTATTGACATGGGAAATGTTGGTGGCTAAAAGACCCTTCTCAGCGCAATCATGCCATTCTGCTCGGGCAGGAGAAATCAGCGGATGACCCAGGAATCACTATTGGATTACATCAGGGCTTCAACCAGTCACAGCCCAACCCAAGCAAGCCCACATGGATGCCTGAAATGTATTAACAACAGAGCCACATATAACCTCCAGAGAAAGTAAAACTAAAATAAAAGGAGAAAGAAGAAGGAGGAAAGAAGATGAATAAGAAGAAACATAACAATGGATTCCTGGATTTTGCTCCCCCCCCAAAAAAAGAAAGAAGTATTCTAGAAGAACTAAAAAGATGGTTCATCAGTCAAGTGCTTTGGAATCCTTTTAAAAGGCTGAGCATGGTGACACATGTTTGTAATCCTAGAACCGGGGATGTAGAGGCAGGTGGACCTTAAGATTTGTGGGAAAGCTAGCTTATTTAGTAAGCTGTAGGCCACTAAGAGATCTGCATTAAGAAAGAAAAACAATGGTGGGCAGTATCTGAGGAATGACACCTGAAGTTGTCCTCTGGCTCTTCATGCACACACACACAACACACACACACACACACACACACACACAAGCACTCTAGGGGAAATGCTAGAGTGTATATTATGAAGTCTCTGAAAAAAATTAAAGACTTTGAGGACAAGATGTGAAAATGCATATAGATAAAACATTTAGAAAATCTAAACACAGAGCATGATAATACATGTGATATCTATATAATCATTTTAACCCATACACAAACTTGTGTACATGATAGTTAGCCAAAACTATTTGGTCTCAGAAAATTACAAGTGTAAAGAAACCAAATTAACAATAGAACCAGACTAAGATGCTGGCACCACAGCCTTTTGGGTTCTGGCCCAGTATTCTTTGTCTCCACAATACTATGCAGACATCATCATCTCAGAGACAAAGACCCCACAAACAACAAGGCCAGCAGATCCAAGAGAGGAAAAGCACACAGAACACACAAAGAAAATCAGGGCAGAAATCTGAGAGATTCTTAAGTTGTTCGTAAAATAAGTATAGACTGAATTTAGCAGCTGTGGGAAGCATTGAGAGGTAGACACAAAACTGCATGTGTGTGCTCACAATCATGGGACAGTTGCAAATTTAAATGATACAAAAATAACTTCTACCATTAAAAATCCCCCAGAGTTCCCGTTAAGCTTCTG